TCTAAGATTTTGCCACTTTTCAAAACAAATAGACAAAACAGACTTCATAAAAATACATGTTTTTTCTCTCTTCTAAAGATATTCTTGAATGAAAAAGAAAATGTTAAGTCATCGCCTGGGGGAAAGGATTTGCAAGTTGTCTATCCAACAAAGGATTTTTTACCTAAAATGTTTTAAAAAGTGCAAAACTTAACAACAAGAAAGCAAATAACCTAATTTTTTTTTTTTTTAGTAACTTGATATTTTAAAGGGGTAAAAGATTTAAATGGGTACTTCAACAAAGAGGTTAGATAGATGACATTAGGGAAATGCAAATTAGAAGCCATAACAAAATGCCACTGTACACTCACTGGAATCGTTAAAATTGGAGAGTCTGGTCCTACCCAGTGCTGGGGAGGTGGTAGGAAAGCTGGAACTCTCATACATCCCTGGCGGGAGTTTTTAAAAATGGCACAACTGATTTAGAAAACCATTTGGCAACTTCTTGAAAAGCTAAATCAATACCTCCCAAATGGCTGGGACATTCCACTCCTAGATAGTTCCCCAAGAGAAGTGAAAAGCACTTCCTACACAGAGTTTTGTTTGTGCTAGCCCAAACCTGGGAACAGTGCAAGTGTTCACAATGGACAGAGGTGGCCTGTTCACACAGTGGAATACTACTCTGCAAGAAAAAGGGACCAGCTCTTGATATGTGAAGAAATACAGTTGGATCCAAAATAATTACTCTGAGCAAAACAGGTCGGCCATGTTTCCCCTCTCTCCAAAAGTACATATTGTTTGATTCCATTTGTATCAAATTCTAGGAAAGGTAAATTAATTTATAGTTAAAGAACAGACATTAATGACTACATGGGAATGGGCGAGTGAGTAGGGGAGCCCAAAGGAGGGACTCAGAAGTGGCAGGGACTGTTTTGGGACAGATGGAAATATTTATTATCTTGATTGTTCGTTATCTTGGTTTCATGGGTACACACATTTGCTTAAAAATTATCAAGCTGTACTTTACATTACTTTAGAAGGTGTGCTCTGGAAGGTACATTAGTTAAGTCTTTACAAGACAACTGAGAACAGAAGGGAAAAGAAAACCCAGAAGCTGACCCCATACCAACAGCAGCACAGTGTTCTAGAGGATGACACTGACCTCCCCACAAGGTGGGGATCCGAGACCCCCATGCCCAGCCAGGACCCTCAATGGGAGCAAGCATGATCCTGGATCAAAGGTACCTCTGACTCCTGGCAGAAACGAGTGTCATTCTCCCTGAAGAAAAATGTCCCCAAGGTAGGTCCCCAGGATTCTCAAGGACTGAGCTCACAATAACCCACATAAAGAGGCAAACCAGCCGGCCACGGTAGCACATGCCTGTAATCCCGAAGGCTCGGGAGGCTGAGGCAGGAGGATCCCAAGTTCAAAGCAGCCTCAGCAAAAGCAAGGCACTAAGCAACTAACTCAGTGGGACCCTGTCTCTAAATAAAACACAAAATAGGGCTGGGGGTGGGGCTCAGTGGTCGAGTGCCCCTGAGTTCAATCCCTGATATCAAAAAAAAAAAAAAAAAGAGCAAGTCATTATGAATGAAAATCTGCAGGGACCGTAAACAGTAGAGTTGGATTGTCACAGACTTTGGGCAGTGGTACATTGGTGAATGTTCAATGACATGTTCTCAGGCCAAAGCCCCATTGTGACCGATTTCAAGTGCCAAGAGGAGGTCATACAGGGTTGGGAGGAAATGGGCAGTAGGTACCACATTATAAGTATTTCTTCCACACAGGAATCAGAGACATAACTAATAGAGAATAGCAACCTGTACTAGGAAAAAAATTAAATGATTAATTTTGAGTATTTGTCACTGTTGTGTAAAATGCAACTTAATTGTAAATTTACAAAACTTGATTTTTTGTGATGGCAGTGCTTAATAAGAGGGTTGCAGAAACCCTGCAAATTTAACATCGGCTCTCAGACAACCCTGTGGTACAGGTCAGCGCACCACGGGGTCAGGTAGTTATTGGAAACAGAATGTGAAGTTCCTGCCTGTTAAAAGAAGTTATTAAATTTTAATTCACATTAAAAACTGAGCAAGGGGCTGGAAACTCAAAAAGTGGTTAAGAATATACTAAAAAAAATGAGAAAGAATTTTTAGAAGTAAAATAGTTGACTATGAAAATTCTAAAACTGGAATAGGGTGGTTTAGTGGAGGGTTGGTGGGCTTGAAGATAATAGGTGGCCAGGATATCATTGTGAAGAAAGGCAGCCTCCAATAACCTCAGGGAGAAATGGGCGAAGTCACTGTACTAGAAGCTTCCCCCACACAGAACAATAGCAAAGGGGGCAATGCCAGCAACCCATGAGCTCATTCCAACATGACTGACCTTCGGGCAGTACTTAGAGAATGCATATTTCCCTCGCGTATCCATGAGCATGTTCTAGTTCATATGTCAAAACTTTTTTATAAATATTTTTTTTAGTTGTGGATAGACATAATACCTTTATTTTATTTATTTGTTTTTATGTGGTGCCTCAGACATGCTAGGCAAACGCTCTACCAACTGAGCCCCAGCCCCAGCCCCTCGGATGTCAAATCTTAACCTGCATCAGAGAGTCAGCCTCATCCAAAGCACATTCTCCAACATAATGCAATTAGAGATTCATAACGATGATCATAAATGAACGATCCCTGAAGAGCCAGGAAAGTTTGAGTGTGCTGGCAGACCGCTCTTGGGTTAAAGAAGAAATCGTAAGACTTAAAATACTTGGAAATGGGAAATAATGAGAACGCTGTCTGTCGAAGCTTGTGGGATAATTCAAATGAGAAGCCTCGTGAATCCTGTATCATAATTACTAATAGTGGGGAGAGAGGACCGTCAGGAAGACGTGATCAACACAATAAGCCCAAGAAATGGGCAAGGGTATCGATCGGAGGTCAAAGAAGATATTGAAGGAAGAGTGAACCTCAGGGCAATGTTGAATAATGGGGGGAAAAACCCTTCCCTTTTCAATCTTCTTCCCAGCCTATGATCACCTCTAGGAGAAACGCTCAGATTGTTGCTAATCAGTCTTGGATACCTGTCTGCCGCTTGCCAAGTCCCTTGAGAGAAAGTGGAAAAGGACTCAGAACCTTGGAGGGGCTACTTACTGTGTAACAATGTATAACATTATTTTGTTTTTTCTCTTTGCAGTGGGGAGGAGGGTTGAAGCCAGGGGCGCTCTACCACCAGCTCCATCTCTAGCCCTTTTTAACTTTTATTTTGAGACAGAATCTAGCTAAATGGCTCAGGCTGACCTTGAACTTGGGGTCCTCCTGCCTCAGCCTCCTGAGAGGACAGGAGGGCACCACCGATGCCCTGTAATAACCTTGTTTCTTTTGATTGTTTGTCTTCCTGGTTTTGCCCTTTGCTGTGGGTAGTGAACTGGTTATTCACTTACATCCACTGGCCACCTAAAATGACCTTGTTCAACAAAAGTGTTTTGCAAGTGAGTCCATTTAGAGAGGACAAGGACAGCCCTGTGGTAGCGATAAGGTAGCAGTTGTGAAGGGGGTACCCAGGGAGAAAGGATCTCTGCTAAAAATCCTCCCCACATAAGTTGGGTGAGCCGCAGTCATTAGGAAACAACCACATTTGTTCCTTCCATAAAAATGGTCACTTCTCATCTGTTCTTCCCAGTACCTAAACTCTGCACATGGCCTTAAGATGCTTCCCAACATACCCCACAAGGGACATAAAGACACAGAGGTAGCCAGGTGTGGTGGCCACGGCTGAGTCCCTGTGCAAACCTACTTACACACTGTCCATCAACGCTCCAATGATTAAATTAAGCCCAAAGTGATAGGATGCCTTGAGGGACCCCAATTATATTTGGGGGACTTTTTGGAGCTATCTGCTGATCAGATAATGAGGACCATGTTGGCTTGAGGATCTTGGAGCTGACCAGACCACCAGACGCCATCTTGAGATCACTGGGCTGATACCTTCCCACACCCACCCCTGAGCCCATTCCCTTTAAAAGAAGAGCCGGGAACCCCCAAGGGCACCTCTCGCTCTTGAGACCTCGTCCATTCTCCTTGACTATGGACCTGCTTCCGAAATGAACCTCTGTCTCTGCCTTTGACGGGTGTGTGCTGGGATCTTTTTGTGTCACATATGCCAAGAGCCCAGCTGATCCCGAGGGGAGTCCCCTTCTCTCCGGGAACTCCTTGAACCCTTCCTGGGACACTGCCAGTCAGAGTGGGCCTGAGGGGGCGTTGGTGACCTCCCGTCTAGCCTGGCCGCCTTATTTGATGAATGAGGAAATCGAGGTCCAGGAGGAAGGAGAGTGTGGCCTCTGGTCACCCGGTGAGTTGGCCCAGACCCAGAGCTGGGCCCAGGTCTGTGTCTGTCACCAGACCAAGTCTCTCCCTCCCGGGCCACCTCTAATTCGGGGCCTGGAGCTCGGTCTTCTAACCTTGCTCCTTTAACCCTTGCAAAGCAGCCGCATCAGGGAAGCTTCTAGAGGAAAACTCTCCCGGGTTCCTTCCCCCCACCCCAGGGAAGGAAAAGGGATGTCTTTTCCTGCCGCAGTCTGGCTGGGCACAAATCACGAGCCACTGAAGCAGGAACAAACTTTATTTTTAAACTGCAGGAAAACACTTCACACAGCTCCCGGGGAATCCTACCTAACGCCACAAGGCTTGTCCAGGAACCCCCAGCCGGAAATATCTCTCCCGGAAATCCCTCCTCCTGCACTTCCCCAACCAATGGGAACTCTCGGGGAATCCCCGGAAATCCCCACGAGAACTCCAAAATAGTACGAGAACTCCAAAATAGTGCCAGAACTCAAAAGTTGCGGCAGAGGCGGATAGTAATGCCTTGCCCGTCAATCAATACTGTTGGCAAAATGCCAGGGGCCGTACAGACTCGGCCGTGGCTCTCAGCATTTTCCCGTGATTCCCTCCTTCTTTGGGGTGTTGACAGTTAGGACCTCACTGACCCGCAAACCAGCCGCTCCCAGGAAAACCCTGAGACTTACTTGGACTGCAGGGACCTGTCACTGGGGTACATCCATCGGTTGGCGCTGTTGCTGACCACGGTGTCCGTCATAGTGGACGGCGGGTGCTCCTGGAAAACAACCCAGAGAGGATGTCACCCTGTCACTCTGTGTCATACAAAGGAACTTTATCCATATCTCCATTCTCCAGATGGGGACCCTTGGGCGTTGCTGGGGGACGCTGTGGACCTTCGACACAGGCAGCCTGGTGAGAGGCCCTTAGGCCGCTGAGGGACTGCCCTCAAAGAGAAGCACGGGACTCTAGTCCCACAGGTCCTCTGTTTCCCGGGCCCTGGTGTAAGTGGACTGCTCCTGCCATGCTGTGCTTGGGATTTGATGGAGGTAGAAATGATGGGGCTCCCATCTTGAATCTCCAGAAATCTAAGCCCCAATAAGCCTGTGTTTACTTCCTAAGCAGCAGATGTTGGGTGTTTCATTATAGCAATGGCAAGCTGGCCAAGACCGACTCTCTGTGCCTACCCTTGCCCTGGGGCCACTTATGCTTCACAGAGTGGCCAGGGAGGTCTTGAGAAAGCTGGCTCCTAGCTTGTAAGAACAGCCCCCACCACGGCTAGACCCAGAGAGACCGTTTTGGCATTGATTGTGGTGATGGGTGTGAAACTGTGAATATTCCAAAATCCACTGGCTGGTCCACTTTAAATGGGTGAATTGAATGCCATGGGAATTATACCTCATTAAAGCTGAAAATGGTACATTACTTTGGAAAATGCTTTGGCCATGTCTATTAACGTCTATTAATGTCTACCCTGTGACCAAGAATCGTGCTCAGGTATATATCCAAGAAAAATGGTGCTTGTACACTAAGACAAGTAGAGGGTATTCACAGAAAAAAAAATTGGGTGGGTGGGGAATAGCTAAAAATTGGAATTAACCCAGGTATCCACCGCAGAAGAGCAGAGAGATCAAGGGTGGTTTGATCATATTGTGGAATACTGGTCAGTGCTAACACACAAATTCCTGGTAGCCTTGAAACCCTGGTGGCAAACGCCTATAATCCCAGCGGCTTGGGAGGCTGAGGCAGGAGGATCATGAGTTCAAAGGCAGCCTCAGCAAAAGTGAGGCATGAAGCAACTTAGTGAGACCCTGTCTCTAAATAAAATGCAAAATAGGGCTGGGGATGGGGCTCAGGGGTCCAGTCCTTCTGAGTTCAATCCCTGGTTACCCCCCCTCCACCTCCCCCCCCCAAAAAAAAAACAAAACCCTGGATGGATCAGGAGAACATCAGGTTTAGTCCAAGAAGCGAGGCTGAAAGCAAACACACTATTTGATAGTATTTCCCTGAAAGTTAAGAAGATAGAGCAAATGGCTCACCAACTCTGGGGAGATCATCAATTGGGAGGGGACATGGGGGTTTCCTGGTCTGGGTGGTCAGGAACTGGGTGTACACGTCTGCAGAAGCCCTGAGCTGGCCATTTAAGACAGTGTTCCCCATGTCCTTCCCTTTGCCCCCAAAGGTAAGGAGCTCAAGTCGCTCTTTTGCTCAAGAGTCTTCTATGGATCTCATTTGCTCCCAGAATCAAATCCAAACCCCTCGGCACGGCCCAACTCCCTGTGGTCTCCCTGCTCCAGAAGGATGCTGCTCTTTCTGGAACATTCCAGCACTTTCCCACAAATTCGCTCTGCCCGGGACCCCTTCCCTGCCGCGTGCCCGACGCCATCAGGAAGGTCTCTTCTCCAATGTCGCCTCCCCAGAGAGGCCTCCCTGGCTGCTCAATTCATTTACTTTGTGCCTTTTTAATAAAAAAAAAAAAATTAATAGATGTGTTTGAAGAATGCATATTTAAATGCATAAATGACATAAATCCTACAAACGAGGGCATCGCGGAACAGATGAGCTTCCGTCACCCCCCGCGGCTGGCTATTTTCGGCTCTGCTGTTTTGCAGGCAGGTCGGCTGCCATTCACTCATTTAGGAAAACTCTGAACACAACCCCCGACCAGAGGCCGCGGTCGGTCGTCTTGGTGCCTTGCTGGCCCCTCCGTCCACCCTGCACATCGGCCACTGTGGATCCTTCAGTTCAGTCCCTTTCAGACGCCCCCCTCCCCCACCTCTCCCCCCAGGTTCTCTTTACTCTGATTTATTTTCCTTCGCAGCTCCCCATGATTGTAATTTATTTTCGAATTTGGCCAGTTGCTTGGAGTCTGGGTCTCCCTGCCAAAACAGAAGCCCCTGGCAGAGCTCCTGGTGGGTCTTGCTGCTTGACTCCCGAGGCCCAGCACGGTGTCTGCACACAGAAGGCGGAAAACTGGGATGGGTCTCCTTCAACGTGGGTACCGGGAAGCCAGCCAGGCTGAGGTCCTCTCTGAACCTGCCCCCCACCCCCCGTGTCTCACCAAAGGGCCAGGGGACGAGGCCACGGACAGAAGGGGGATGGGCGTGTTCGGGGGATGCTGGTCCCCTGCGGCTCCTGCTCCCTCTGAAGCTGGATGGGTGACAAGGGAAGGTGAATAGCCGAGCCCCTTCCCTGCCCTGCAGCCTCGGGATCATCCTCTTTGTGTGGGGGAAGCTGCTGCGGGAGAAGACCCCTCCTGAAAAGCCATTTCCTCGGCTCCTATGTGGGGGGACATAATCTTCCCAGATTAATGCAGCCATTTGGTTGTTGCTTGTATGTCAAAAACGGAAAGAAAGGAGAGAGAGAAATTTCCTGTTGTGAAGGAAATTTGCTGAGAAGAACCTTTAATGTCTCCTTATTGCTGTTGCGGGAGCTGAGTTGCTTCCCTGGCCCCCCTGGGGACCCCTGGCCCCCACTGGGCCCGTGAGTTTTAGCTGGTTTGAACCAGTGCCTGCAACTGGGTGGCTCCCTTCTTTCAGCAGAGGGGAGACGCGGCCCTTGGGGAACCCTGGAAGGCAAGGGTCCATCCTCTCCCAGGAACTCTGGTCCCCAAATCCTGCTGCCCTGGGGGCAGAGAGCCCTCTTGTGCATTTAGTCACCCCCACACAGGTCCCACTAAAATTCCATCTGCCAAGTTCAGACCCACAGGCCAACCTCCCAGGGGAAACTTCCCAGCTCCGTCCCCCAGGCCAGGAGCCACCCTGGACAAACAAGGCTATTTCACGGTGGCCAAGTTCAACATCCCTGGACTGGACTCCGTGTCCAGTGCTCGCCCCAATCCCAGACCAGGAGGGGGGAGATCTGAGCCAAACAACAGGAAAAATGGTGTAGGGAAGGCGGATCTGGGATGGCTGGGAGGCTGTGGGAGGGCTGCCGGTCGCCTCTGGGGACCCCCTACAGCAGGCACACACCCCTAGCCTCCAGGGATGTTGGCCACTCCTAGGAGCCAGTCCCAAGGAGCTGCCTGGCTCAGACACCTGGAAGGCACAGCCCCAGTTCAGGGTGTGACAGTTCTGGGATGCCATCCTGTTCCAGGGCTCCCTGGGGACCAGGCTGCACTGAGGTCCCGTCTCCTGGCCTCCTCTGACCCACTGTCTGTTTCCCTCATTCCTTGTGGGTCCTGCTCGGAGCATCTGTTGCTTCTATCTCTGGCCCAGGAAGCCCATCTCGGGTCCTGCTCCTAGACAGCGCGACGTCGCATGCAGGTTGTCAGGAGAGCCAGGGACCCACGGCCACGTGCTCCTTACAGCACTGGGCGGCCACTGAGCCATCCTCTAACCTGACAGCACGTGACCCTAGGTGTCCCACCTGCCTGCAGATGACACTCCGTGAAGGCAAGCCACGTTCTCAGGAGGGAGGGTGAGTTAACAGGGGTGGGACAGTCAACGGTGAGTGCCTGAGGTCCAGTGCCCCAGCCCGTGCCCACTGCCCACTACAGAGAAACCCTCAATGACAGAGGAGCCCCGGACTCCGTGGGGGACAGAGGAGGAAAGCAGCCACTGACAGCAGAAAGATGTGTCAGACACAGATGTGTCAGAAAAAAAGTACAGGTTTCCAAGCCGCTTGACCTCAGGAACTCAGTGTCACTGAGCTCATGAGGTGAATCCCCACCTACAGTCCCTGACACACAGGAGGGACTTTGGAAAACAACAATTAATTTCTTTTTCCTGCTTCTCCTATAGTTGATACCCAACAGTAAAATGAGTCATTATTTCTTGAACATCTACTATGCACCAAATTCCATGCCCGCCTTATTGCATTCATCTTTATAATTCTCATTTTACAGCTCAAGAACTCAGGCTCAGAGTGGTTAAGCCACCTGCTCAACATCACACAGCTACTGAGGAGCAGAGCCAGTGTGTTTCTTCACTTCTCTGTCATCCCTGCACGGGCTTCTTGGGTCCTGGTGAGCAGGCGGGCATTGCCAGCTGTCCAGTCCTGACCCTCTGCCCCGTGGCTGTATTCCCACCTCTCGGCCCCAGAAGAGAAAGAGAGACTTGCCCAGCCTGTCCCCTGCCAGGTGCCTGTGGGAGCTGGTGTGCTGCAGCCTGGGCAGGACTGGGGCACTGGCTTCCATCCAGTCCTGCAGCTGTGACTTCAGACAGTGAAACATGAACTGCGGCTCTGGGAACCAGGGCTCCTCCCCAGCCCGCAGCCCCTGCAGCCCCCGCAGATGCCCTGGGGGAGCAGTGACAATCGAGATGACTGTGTTGGCTCTCAGACGTGTGGAGCACCTCGCGAGCCTTGTCTTCTTCTTGCCCCGTGTTGCAGGTGGGGTGACTGAGCCAGGGAGAGGTGGAGTAGGCTTCCCGAGGCCCTGCGTCCAGTCCCTCCAGGGGCCATCTAAATGGCCGCCTGGGCAACGGAACATCTGTATGGGAGGGAAGTGCACAGCTGGGAAGGGGGCTGATGCTCTTCATAACTGACGTGAAGGGACCAGCAAGATAAAGTGTCTAGTGAGGAGACCACGCCTTGGGACCATGAGCCTTAGTGCCACCTGTTTGGTCCCGGGAAACGCAGAATGTGTGCTGGTGATGTCCCCGTGGTGTGTGGGGCCGGGAGCTGGGGCGGAGCTGCAGGAGCCTCCTGAGGACAGACCCTTCGATTCGCAGCCACAGGATAAGGCACCTCCTCGAACACAAGTGATCGTTTGTCTTTACAAAATGCAATTTTAAAAGAAAAAGGTGTTTCCAGGGCTGCCCCTTGCAAGGAGGAGAT